AAACTACAATTGCGTTACAGGATTCAGATAAATGCCTGACATTAAAAACCGCAGTTTGCACGCGAGGGTAGGGCTATGTCATTAACCCATTTTGCTCGACTTTTATTTGTCCGATTGACACCGACTAAAATTATTACAATAGTGAAATTGACGGAAATCCGTCGTAGCGACGGAGAACTTTAATCCCTGTAATAATTTTTCAGATTCACCCAAAGGGACCACAGTGCAAGGAGACACAAATGGGACACTGACTTGCAGTACTAATGCAAACCCAGCTGTAAAGAACTACACCTGGTACAGAGCTGATGGAGGCCAGGAGACTTTCATGGGGACTGGACGCGTTTTAACTGTTAAAGCTTCAGATGTCAGCGGTCCTTTTTTCTGCAAGGCTGAAAATGAACTGGGGAGTGGACGATCCAACAACAAACACATAGATGTTCAGCGTATGTATAAAAGTTAAACTGTGTGTTTTTAAACCTTTAAAGGTCTATAATTCCTCCAGAGCAGTGATTTACTGATTATAAAATGTTGTTAATGTTTCAGTTTTCAAGATTGATTTCCATCTTTGGCACTTTCTGTATTAGTATATAAAACATTACTAATTTGTCTTTTTCATCCAAATGTCCATGTGTGCCAATTTGGGCCAATCAATCATTCAGTTTCCCTTTCATAATCAACTCCTTCATGTGCCAGTGGGTTTAATGTGTTTAAATTGTGCTTTTGAACATAACCACCATGAAACAATCAGAAATGAATATTGAATTTCTTCTGGCTCAGTGTTGTTCCTGCTGAAACCACTCCTCTTCTTTTAGTCTTTTGGTTGCTCAGCCTACACTCGTCTCTCTCGCTCGCTTTGCAGTCTTGATTTGGAAATATGATACAGCTTTGGTACTTCCTTCACTGTCAAACTGACAATGAAGTAGACTTTAGTGGTAAAAACCATCAAGTTGAAAAAGTGTCCCCCCCCAAACAGGGTTATGATATTATCATGTTATTTCTTATGACAGGTCTTGAGGATAACTGTGGACCCTACGGTGGAGTTCTCTTCTGGGCTGTTACTGGAGTGTCTCTCACTGTGAACATCGTCCTCACACTCTGCATGGTGTTTCTTTGGTATGTTATTACACCGGAGGACTTTTTAGAATAAACTGTGCTGATGAAGATATGACAAATGGAGCAGACTTGTGTATAAAACAATTTTTAATCCTCATTTCTTCTTTTACTAAAGGAAACAAAGAGAGAGCATGAAGCCAAAAGAAGAGGACAGCACTTACATGAATCTGGATCACACTAACAGATCTCCAGACTATGATGTCATTGCCAAACGTCATACCTGATTATTTGAAGACTCTCTCTCTGTCTCCCTCTCTGCTCTTCCTGCATTGCTTTAAATATCGACTTTGAGATATGAATGTGATATTTCAATATTCTGCAGGGTGTTTGGCACAATACATGATTCATTCTCAGTAATTTCACATAATATTTTCTCCATGAAGCCTCTGATGTTCAAATCTGGAGAGATATTGATCATGAATTATGGA